TAACAAGACCTGTGCGTAATGACATGAAAACAGCGTGGGCCGAACTCTTTCTCCATCAGCGCTCTGATTATCTGCACTGGAGAAGTTGCAGCACAGTGAAGTAGCCTATCTGTAAATGATATTGTGGGTGAGGGAGCGCGGCGTGTGCATGCGAGTCTGCGTGCCCAGATAGAGAGGTTTGATGCCGTAACAGCTGCTAATTATTGCTGCTCTATATTTCACACAGTCTGTTTGATCTCCTGTCCTGTGGAGCCTGATAGGGATTCTGTGTCTCCCATATTTCTCCCATATCCACACATACACGCGCATATCAGATGAGGGGTCGCGGGGAGCACGAGATGGGAGAACTGCTTCTAATTATAGGCCATCCTCGGGTTCATATTTCTCAGCACTGGAAGGTTGCATCATTTTGCTTTTTTTGTGATTCTGTCTGCATTGGTCGCCGTGGCTACCCCCCTGTCGTGGCTGGGTTGTGTTCACTGATATCACAGAGGGCAAATCAATCCAATCTCTCAAAGCATTGTGGGTAGTGGGAGTCCGCAGACCATCTGGCTGTGTCTGTGTGCTGCTCCCTGAGAGGTGTCCGCTACAGTGATCAATGCTGTGGTTTTAAAAGTTCAGTGCCCTCAGTCTTCACACGCCGCACATTATAATAATAGTGTCATGTGGTTATTTATTTTGTAGGAATCTGACAATATATGCAAATCTCATGGTACAATAAAGTCAGTGTTCAGCTCAAAATACAAGAGCCTATTGATTGTGATGGGCTCATGGTGAAATGTAACTTTGCTCAAATAAATAAGCCTAGATATAAATCCCTGACTGTCCTTCAGGTTCATCTTACACAACATGAATTCTTGTGAGCTTCAAGCCATGTTACAATATTGTTAGCTCATCGAAAAAACATACCTGTGTGTGTGTTTTATTTCATTCACACATGTTTGAGTAAACCTTGATTATTAGTCTGTCTACATCTCCAAAGCTCAAAATGCTCTGTTCCAGCTTGTGATGTCATGTTATGGTTGTTTTCATGTTAACAGCTGCTTTTTACCTTTAGTTCAGTAAATAAAAGTAAAAAAAATAAATAAATAAAAGATTGCAGTGTAGGTGTATGGATTTTAAAAACACAGTTCTTGTATTACCTACCACATGGCATCACCAGGTGGAACAAAAGTGTTTTCTATTTGAGAAAACAACAGCCTAAATATGCAGGATTTGTGTATTAAATATGTGTGAATGAAACAAACACAGCTCTTAGTTTGTTTTTAATGAGGAAACATCATCACATATCAGAAAAGAGCAAAATATAGACCCTTTAAAGTTTTCTGAAGACAAAGTGGACTTTTGCTGTCTCTGCACTGCTAACAACAACTAGCATGCTAACAGCCCACCACTGTAACTTCCTGGTTCTGTACTCAAACTAGACAGATGTCACTATGGCCATACTGGCTTGTCAAAGCCTGATCCCGTCAGATCTCAGAAGCTAAGCAAGTCCTGGCCTGCTTAGTACTTGATTGGAGACCACTGGGAAAATCAAGGACCACAGTGGGACGCCAGTTGCAAAAACTGTCATTGTGTCCTTAGGCAAGGCACTTCACCCACATTGCCTAGTATTAATGTGGTGTGTGCGTGATGGTGCTGGTGGCGGAGGGGCTGCTGACGCAGATTGGCAGCTTTGTTTCCATGAGTATAATATACAGTGGAATCTTACCATTACCGGGTAAAGAGTGAACGAATAATGCTCTGTAAAAAGCGTCTTTGTGACATATGTCTTTGAAAAGCGATATATAAATAAAGACATACTTACTATTGCATTACAGTACAGAATATTGGTTACTGTACTGTCCCTTTTGAGATGGAGGATTAAAATGCATTATGTGTTTATTATTCATTCATTCATGTTGGCTCCACTGAATGAAGTGGCAGTGCCATCTGTGTACTCATCTGAAGAACATTCATGCAGTTCAGCCTATTATCATGGCATAGTTATTTCATGGTTAATGTTACGTACTTATTGTTAGGACAAATGTTTTCATGTTCTTAAATTATAAAATAGTCACATACTTAAAATTGATGAACATTTTTGAAACCTTTTCACTTTTGTCCCATTTTGCTATCTCTCGTTCAGCACCTGTTCAGACAAAACATGAAAACCAAAATCAGTTATTTTGTTTTTGCGCTTTCTGGTTTTAATTTTTTGTTATGTGCTTACGTTTAAGTGTGTGGGGAAATCATTCTTCACAAAGAACTGTCCCTGATAACACTAATAAAAAATTCACTAGACAATGATTTGCATGATTTATTCCTTTATTTGTGAGATTTAGTTATAATTAATAATAACCTTTCCATTTTTCTAGGTCAGCAGTTTTACTTGGTATATTACCTACTAATAATAAATGCACTCAGTCATATCAATGCTTCATTGAGATAAACAAGGCTATACATTTTTACAATATTATAAGACATTCTCACTTTGCAAACCAGAAAATCTCACGGTAAAAACTTTATACTGTATTTACTGCTCTAACAACATGGAGCAGAGAGAAAGGCCATCAAGGTCTATAGTTACTCCTTTATATATTAAGAAACATTTGTGTGTTAGCCAGGACCGCAGCAGTGACTAGTATACAAGACTAACTTTTGCATTAATGTTTCTCATAATCATCACTGCATATTTACACTTTAAAGACTCGTGAGGTCTTACATGTGTCTGAGGAGGAAATGAGCTGTATTTGTGTGCCTGTTCAGTATTAATATTGCGCACACTATTTACCAATACGATAAGATGGTGTTTGGGTCCAGAGGTTTGTAGTTTCATCGCAGCTTCGACAACCAGTGCATATTATTGTTGTGTCCGTGGGCAAGACATTTTACCCACCTTTTACACTGTGTCTGATGTGTGAGTGATCGGTTGTGGCTTGAGGGACTATATGAAGTATGACGAGTTATTGAAAAATGACATCAAAACCAAAACAAAAAAAATCATACATACATTTAAAGTGACTATGAATGTATGGAAAAGTGCTATATTATTGTTACTGTCAATGTCACAATATAAAAAATCCCATAGTAAGAAAAAAAACCCCAAAAACACTTGCTTTTGACTGCAGTGATAAAAAAAAAACAAATAAAAAAAAACACTCCTTATATGAGACAAAAAAAGTCATTTTCAATTCATAGTTCAATAATAGCAATTTATTTAATATTACCATGTGTTCTTGAGCTAGTTCTGGTCAGGAACGGTCCAATCCTGTCCCTTTTCACTGTCAACTTGGTCAAATTAGTTTCTATTATCTATTACACTGCAAAAAATAAAATCTAGCCAATTTAAGATTACTTGAATTAAGGAAATTTGCTCATGATTTGAATAAATTTGACTTGACAAGTAAAATTATCTGATTTTTAAAAAATTACCGGGGAAATAATAATTTTTGAACATAAAATATGAATATACACCTTACTACACTTAAAAAAAAGAAAAACAACCACTTTTTGCACTAAAAATAAGAAACTAAACTGAATGTTGCTTGAATTAAGAATAGAAAAACACACTTATTCCATTGGTAGATAATTTTACTTGTCAAGTTGAAGTAAAATGTTCTTAATTTATGTCATCTTAACTTACCTAGATATTGTTTTTTTTCCAGTGTATATTACTATTATCTGGGTATAATTTTTGACAAGCTTATATATTAGACAAATGCTACATTACTGGTACTATTTACGATTTACCATTTAAGTTTCTGACAGTCACCTTTAGCTGAGATGGATTTGAGATGAGAAGTGAGATGTCCTGTCCCTGGCATGAAAGCTGGTACTTCAAAAGGCCCCTGTTCTGTTTGTGGTTCAGGAGAAGACAGAGGATGACACGGCCTCAGCTTGTCTTTGAATTGCAGGTGTAGCTTCCCTTTATACTGGACTGAATGAGGAACACTGTAGAAAGCAATAGATCAAAGTCCGTTTCTCTTAGTGTCTGGAACGGAGCAGCGAGGGCTAAATCGAAGAGCAAATTTTGATATCTGAAAACAGTCGGTACGCTTGGGTTTTCTGATGGTTTGCAGTTGTGACTAGTCTCGTAACAGCAATAGGTACAGTATTGTGCAAAAGTTCTATAATATAATGACTAATCCGAAGGGCTTTGAACAAAGAAATCTGAGTGGGTGTATAAAAATGCATTAAATTGCAAATGAAAAAAGAAAGAAAGAAAACAGAAAGAAGCTATGTTAAATCTACTTTTTATAGAGAAGTGAGGACATCTATACTGAGAAAATAATCTCAGCAAAGACAGTTCCTATGGCCACAGTCAAATGTGATTATGTTTTTAATCAAGGTTTCATAGGTTGCGTTCACGTGGCATCACACCATTTTCGATTCGAGTTTAAAACTGAGCTGGAGGACAGGAAACAGTTTGCAGATTTGTTAACCTGGTTTATGGTTAATTCTGTAATTACTCAAACTAGACACATGAAACCAAAACTAACACACTGAGTTCAATATCATCTCTCTAAATAAATAAAACTAAGGTCACATTATTTTTCACAGTAGTTTTAGAAAGTGCTGTGATTATTAAACCTCAAAGACATGACATAAGATCAATATGGCAAGTCTGCAGAGCCAATTCCTATACTGCATTTGGATATTTCTTTGAGAAATCACAAATCTCTCCTACAGTTGTATGCCTCTGCCCTCCATCTGAAATAATGACAGCATAAAAGTGAACATGATCCCTATGCTCTGTGTACTGACCCCTTCAAATTTAACTCAAATAAATCTCGTCATAATCAGTGATGTTTGTATTTTGTTCTTGCTTGACTCAAAAAACAGTGATTTGGATGTGCACCAAAATTAATCATTTTGCCCTTGGCTAACAGCAACCAGTAGAAAGATTTTTCAGAAAGATGATGAAAAAAAATAAAAAATAAAAACACAGAATCTGTCATGCATACACGTTAAACCTTTGCACAGTGCTGTAGATTGACATGTCAGAGATGATGTGCGAGTCATAAAGCCTTCTGTGGAAACCTGACTGTCCATGTTCTGTCCAGGAAGTGGTGTGGGGTCAGAGGCTGCAGCGTGAGGGGGGAGAGGGAGGAGAGAGAGGAGAGGGCCGCGGTGTGGAAGGAGACAGAGGGGTGCAGGAGAGGGACGGGCCGATGGGATAGCAGGATGGAGGGGAACAGAGGAGGCAGGTGCATGGGAGGAGGCCCGGGTGGAGGTATGTGGTGAAGAGAGAGATGGTGCAGAGGAGGAGCAGGGGGTGAGGGAGCACTGGGAGGAGCAGAGGAGGAGGGAGGCAGAGGCAAGAGGATGTGGTGCAGAGGAGGAGAGGGGGGCAGAGGGGGAACTGGGAGGGGGATGGGTGAGGAGTAGTTGTCATGTGGGAGGGGCAGAGGTAACTGTAGCGTGTGCTGTAGAGCAGGAGGCTGAGGAACAGTGTGTACAGGTGTGTAGTGGTCCTCCCCTGCTCCTCTCTCCTGAGCGCGCCCACACTCTGAGTACTTTGTGTGGGGCCTTTTCTCGCCTGTGTCCTGGCTGAGCTCCAGCACCTTCTGCATGTGCTCCCGGGCCTGCTCCTGCAACAGTCTGTACTTGTCCATCTCATCTGCTCTGAAGCTGACAGGTGGAGCTGCCTCTGCGGCCCCCTGCGTGTCCTGGGACCTGAGATTCAAATTGCTGCTTGTGCTTTGCTCTTGACCTGTGTCTTGGTGGTTCAGTTCTGTTCCTGTCTCTGTCTCCATGACTTTGGCCTCCTCCATTTCGTCAGCTTCTTTGTCTTTACCCCTTTCTATCAGAACCCTCTTGAGCCTGGCCTTTCTCTGGATAGCAGGGCGTTTTCCTATCAGCGGGAGGTGCAATGTTTTCACTGTTTTTTGGGATAAAGTCTGAGTTGTACAAAGTCCTGGGAGGATAGTGTTGGAGTTACAGTCTGTGTCTGGGGAGGTGGCCACATGAGAGCGGGTCTCTTGTAGTTCACACAGAGGTGTGCTTACATTATGAACAGTCAGTGGAGGTCTGTGAGGGGAAGAACTGGGACAGGAGCCTGAGCTGAGGCTGCTTATGCTCTGTGTCTCTGGAGAAGTGTTTACAGAGGCAGGACTGAGCCTCTTACTGGAGCTCACTGTCACTTTGTCCACAGAGATCCCAGAGCAGGTGCTCCACTCCCAGCTCAGCTCCGACAGGGTGGTGCTGCAGGGGCTGCAGGATCGTGGGCTCACCCGACTCACACTGGGAGGGCTCTGGGCCTGTCTGCTCCACCACTCAGGACTGGACACGTGCCGAACACTGGAGGGCCTGTTCCCCCAAAAAGGAGCTTCTTCTGGGCTGTCTCTCCTGGAGTCCGACCTGGATGTTCCAGGGTCCTCCCAGCTGTCGGTGCTGCCACAGGTCCATCTGTCCCAGTCGCCCTCACCTGTGCTGCCCCCTGTGCGCCCCCAGGTACTGGGACTCACACTGGACCTGAGTGGGTGTGGATGGTGCCACTCGTCAAACTTCTGCTCTGACCTCCAACCATGTGCTGTGCTGATCTGTGCATCTCCCCCAGGACCTGCCCCGCTCCTCCACTCCCACTGCTCTGCGTCGCACACAAAAGCCCTGTCACAGCCCTCTCCTAATTCCCTTCCCCTCACCTCCTCACAATGCCTCAAGTTCTTTCTTTTACTATGAATGGATTTCCTGTCCCTGTGGAGGAGTTTTCGCTTTCTTGCCGGGCTGTTACCGCTGCTGTTGTCAGGGTAACAGCAGTCAATGAAACTCCTGGGGTTGCTATGGTGACCTCTTTCCCAAAACATCTTGGAGTCAGATCCTGGAGAGAGGGAGCGTGAGGACAAGTGAGACCGCCAGGGAGGAGAGGCGGCGTGCCCGTGCCCCTCCTGTCTGCGATGGCGCCGTTGATGCTCGGAGCTCCTGTGAGGCCTTCTGCTCCTCGCTGAGACACATCCAGGCGTTCTTTCACCACTCCCCCGGGGACATCTGCTCCCCCCTCTCTCCACCCCTCCGGTCTGCCTCTCCCCCCACTCTCCCTCTCTCCCCTCTTTACACGACGACACCACCACACTCTTCACTTTGCACATTTTCCGCTTCTTCACAATCTTCTCCCTCTTTTCCCTCCTTCTCCGACTCTGCTTCCCCGTCTTGTGTTTCCTAATAGCGCACGTCCTCTTTCTCCGTGACACCATTGCTACGCCTACATTCGTCTGCATTGCACTGCTGCAAATTGTCTCACTATTGCCATCGCACCTGGTTGGGCTTGTGCACGTCTTTTGGGCGACATGATCTAATTTACAACTCAGGGGTGTGATAGCATTTTCACTCGCAACCTCTAATCTGCCCACCTGACGATTCTGGGTGTTGCAGTCGAAAGCGTCAATCTTATAGCCACATGAATGGGAATTTGGCACAATGCAATTTTCAGTGTTTTGTTTTTCTAGCCATTCTCCAGTTGATGTAGGGATTTTGTCTTTGAGAAACAGGTGCTCTTGTGTCTTTCCGTCAATGTGCTGAGTTTTCGTTGCCTCTTCAGTTTGTCCCTGCACCTGCACTCGTGTTTGCTTTGGAACAGAAACACCTGACATATACAATAACTGATTCTGATCCTCTAGTTTCTCTTGGAGTTGCTCGTGATCATGTAGTTTGCTGCTGTATGAGATATGTGGCACAAACTTTGTAAACTTTAATGAACTTGTTGGCCATCGCAGCTGGGTGGTCCCGTCTTTCCCCAAAACACAAATAGTCCGACTCTCTTCTCGCTCTGATTTGTTTTTTGTTGTACATTGCGGTCCGGTATCCGCCTCCTCCAGCCCCTTGCCACATGCCGACAAGAACAGTGAATCATTGCTCTGATTATCTTGTGCTTCCGTGGAAATAGCAGAGTGTTCCTTCTCCAAATCTCTTTTTTCAATTTCACTGTCTTCCGAGGCTGGCTCTCTGGGGACCGGCTCCATGCTGCGTAGTCCGACACTGTCAGAATTCTGCTCTTCCTCTGTCCCAATTTCTCTGTCTATGTCTCTCAAGATTTGCCGTATCCTTTCTCGCATCTGCTCCTTTTTCTTGTACATTTCGTCTTCCTCTAGGTCAGAGAACACAGAGGCACACGGTTCCAGTTTGGGACCCCTCCGAGAGAAGCAAAAAGACACCCCGAGTCTGCCTCCGACGCGTCTCCTCCCTGCAGGTAGAGGCAGCGGCGAGCAGGGGTCGACGCAGAGTTCAGAGCTGTGGATTTGGGGGAATTGTGCTGCTAAGACCGGAGGAGACTGCTGGGGAAGTGGACTAGGGGGGCAGATCTCCTCAGTTCTGGAGCTGGTAGTTGTTGTTATCGAGGTGGTTGGGGTATTTGGGATGTGAGTGCGATCCTCAGGTTTGTTGTCCTGGTTGTGGTCACGTAGATCCGTGAGGGTGTCCTTAGTTTGGTTTATGGCCCTCACTGCACTCTTCAGTCCATGGCCCCGTCTCGTGACCCTAGAAAAGATATAAAAGTAGACTCAGCTTCCACCAACATCATTAGTTTTTAAAAATTTATTTAATCTTAAGCTTAAACTTTTGACAAAGCTATAAAAGTATGATTTTTGTAAAGCACTGCTGGGTTTCAGACAACATCATAACATTCTATAGGCAGACCATATTTAATACAAATGGGAGCAACTAAAATGAATGATTTTTGTTGTAATACAGTGAGTTCAACATTTGTGAATTTACCATTTGGATATTTCATGGAAAAGTACACAATGTGATAAAATCTTGCGAGTATCATCACGTTAGAATCTGAAAACCTCTAATTGGTATTTATTAGCATAAAACTGATTTGAGTTTAATGCAGTGACACAAAAGTATTTTCTGTTTAGTTTATATAATATACTGTAATTAAAAACACCCAGTGTCATATTGCAAAAAATTAACACACCTAAATTCTGCCCACACCCTCACTGCAAATAAAACTGCAAAACTGGGCAGTACCTGGTGAGTGAAGAGGAAAGTGGGGCAGGATCTGGGCATGTGAGTAACAGTGTGATTGGTCTAACAGGTATCCACACTTCAAATTCTGCCCGTGCAGCAAGGTGTTTGTAACCAGAAACACCTGAGGCCAGTCATGTGTGATGTCATATAGGACTTGTTTTTTGACTGAGGTGCAAATGTTTTGACACAGAGCTACAAATTCACCTATGATGCTCAATGCTCAGTAGATTGTATCAAAACATACACAATAGGCCTGGGTAACTTTTTAAGACAAAAAGGTCCTATATTACACAATATGGATTGTGGTGTTACCTCATCATACCTGGAATTGTAATTGTTATTTGACTAATCCTGCATTATTAGTCTGTCTGTGTCTCGAAAGCTCAAAATGCTCTGTCTGCACCTTATAATGGCATGTAGTGGTAAATTTAAAGCTAACAGCTCCCATTTACCTTTTGTTCTATAGAGATGAGCAATTACAGGGCTGAATTTATCCTAATGCTTCTAGTGAAGGTGGATGGGGTTTAAAAACACAGTGGAGCACTTTCTGCATTACATGACAATGTAGAACAGAGAGTTTCCATTTGAGAAAAGAACAGAGCCTAAAAATGCAGGGTTTGTGTGTTAAACTTTGTGAATGAAAACACAACTCTGGGTATATTTTTGACAAGGAAACATTAGAACATAACATAGATCCACAAATAACATACTCTGGGACCTTTCATTAAGAACAGTGCAAAGAAATTGTTCTAATTTATTAAGTCTGAACTCTGGTCCAAACCACATTTATTCACACTGACAGAAGTCTGGCAGCAAACCTCAATATTATAACAACCCAAGCATATCACTGACCATTTGAAATTATTGATTCAATTAAAATTCAATTAACTGCACAGCTCTACCTCAAAAGATATTTACAAATACATAAAAGAAAACTGCACAAGCTGGTTATTATAGTACGTAATATGCAATGGATCAACAATAAACCTTGTAGATCTCAATGTAATCCCTCATTCCAGCAGGATACCTTTAAACTTTGTACTGAAAGCACTGCAGTATACAGTATATAGCCTCAAATCATTTAAAAATGTAGCTTCAAAACCCATGATGTCCCTGACCTTCTTTTGAACAGTGCTCGCCAGATGCACAAACTCTAGGGGGCGCTCTCTCACTTAGGCCAGTGGAACCCTGCTGTGCTTTGGACCCACTTGTCTGTTTCACATTGCCACAAGCACAGCTGCCTCTTGAAGGAGATCTGGCTCTTTTATTTTACAGCGATGTTTCTTTTTAGTTTATTTCAACTGCAGCATCTATACATTTCTATGCTACAGGGAAACATAGACAACTACAGTGAATATGGCTTTAAGGTTTTTACTCAAAACAGAGGACCATTACTCAAAAACAAAAAAAAAAAAAAAAAAAAAAGTAGAAGCAGTAGTAGTTGTCCAAAAAAATTACTCAAGTAAGAGTAAACGTGTTTGGAAACTACTACTCAAGTAAGAGTCAGACTGGACGTAAGATCTAAAAATATATAATAATAGTGAACAAAATGTGGTATTTTTCAATATGGATGCACCAATACTGATACAGTATTGATACTGAAAAATCAGCTGAATCGGTATTGGTTCTTTGATAACAGTTCAAGTGATATCCTGGCTGGGCCTTTAGTTGGATGTAATAAGACCATTTACGGGCACATTTTGGCTAAAAATGTCTCATGTTTTTTTTGGTTTTTTTTCATATGAAGCACTTCAGTGGTGATTTAAAGGATAAATAACAGTTGCATAACACAGCTGAATCTCTTGTGTAATAAGTTAATTCATGTTTTAAGGAATGTTTTATCAGTTTTATCATGTTGTATCGGTTAATATTGGGTATCGGTTGATACTTACACTCAAAGTATCAACACTGGTACCGGAAATGAAAAAAGCTGGATCAGTGTTTCCCTAATTTTCAAAGGATAGACCACAAAATATATGAAAAATAATAAACAATATTGGAGAAATACAAGAAACACATTAGACCTTTTAAATGGTGAAAATGTTGCCTCTAACAGGAGCTGAACCCCATGAATAGGATTCATTATTGTATTAAATGCCAGTTTGATTTATAGTTTGTAATTTATGTATATGTACATGGCAACAGAGTGGTTGGCTGCGTTTGTGGCTACCTGGATCACACACTGAGCTGTTTATCAACTTTTTCTTTTTTTTTTTTTTTAGCTCAGTTTTCAACATCATATCAAGGGATTTTAACCATCTAAGAAGTGCAGCATGTGCAGTTTAAAGGACACATACTATGAGAAAGAGCTGGATTTTGTGAAATGAGCTGTTTGTTTTTCCTGAGTCCATGGAGACCACGCGAGAGGCTAACAGAGGAGCTAGCTAAGGATCTAGCAAATGTGGCAGAAGACCTTCAGAGGAAAGACTGGAGGGAATGAACACAAGGGACTATTAAAATGTGTGCTGCAGCAAAACTTGATTTTCCCTCTGGATCAATAAAACCTCTCTCACACACACAAATGTTCAAACAATTTTAACCTGTTAACATCCTTTTGTCAGATGTTGACTTAACTCCCACTTTACTCAAGAAAGAATATTATTGCTCTGTAAAAACATATTAAAAACTATTCCAAGGCTACAATTTGATAAAAAAAAAAAAAAAAAAGTTGCTCAAATAATTGTAACTGCACATTAGTACTACCCACCTCAGCAGGACAACATAGTAACCTACAGTGTGTATGAATAGTGGTGTTGGCTCAATCCAGTTATTAGCACAAGAGTGATTTGCACATTTTAAAAAGAGGTTGTAAATATGGCCCCCATAAGCCATGCAGACAGGCTTTAATGAACCAGCGTCATTAGCGTAAACACAGAAGCCGTAAACATGTATCAAAACAATGAGACACGAGCAGCGCTGCTCTCATCCTCCATCACAGCGCTCATAAAACACTCTTAATTGCTTCGGGAATAGGTGCAATCAACTTGATCATTAGCTAAGTTTTTATTTCACTTGTTTTGACTGTGGACCTGGAGGCTACTTTAACATACGTCTTAAATACTTCATACATTTACTATATTACCTCGAGTGTTTTTGTTCTGGGCTCCTACTCCACAAGATTTGGAATAACAGACACTCTGAGTTTCTTGTAAAAACTGAGTAAGTACACAACACACAAACCCTGCATCTATAGTCAAGAGTTCTTCTCTCAAAACAGAAAACACTCTGTTCCACCTTGTGATATCATGTGGTAATACAGGAAGTGCTCCACTGTGTTTTTAAACTCCTTACACCTTGATTAGAATCATTTGGATGATTTTAGACCTGGAATTACCCATCTCTACTGGACTAAAAGCTGGTAACTCCGAAACTACAACTACATGACATCACAAGGTGGAACAAAGCATTTTAATTAATAATAAAGGATTACTCAAACATGTGTGAATGAAACAAAACACAACTCCAGGTACGTTTTTGAGGAGGTAACAACATTCTAACAAGGCTTAAAGCTCACAACAGTCAATTTTGTGTAATATAGGACTTTTAATGGCAGTATTATAATATATAGTTGGAATATTAGTAAAAGCAACATCAATAATACAAGTAAGAGCGGGTACTTTCTACTTGAGTAAACATCACATCTGTATATTTTTCACTCATTGCACAAGGTATATTTTTGCAAATAGTTATAATTATTTTATAAGCCTCGAGAGAATAAACAATGCTGATGGCAACTCTGGTACGTTTTCAAAATCTAAAGTGTTTTTTTTTAATTTATTTATTTTTAAAGTCCTCCTTGAAGACAACACACAGTTACATGCTTGTGTCTTTATCTTAAATGTGTCTCACCTGTGGCCCTTGTGTGAATAGACCCATCACATGTGAAAGAGGCTGACAAAACATGACATGCTCTGCCCCCAAACCCATGTCCTCCCTCTGTCCGTCTCACACACTCTCTCTTTGTCTTTCTCCCTCTCTAACCCTCTGTCCTTCTCTCTCTCTCTCTATCCATCTTTCCATTCCACTTCTCTCTCCTTCACCCCTCTCCTCCACCTCCACCTCCTCCTCCTCCTCTCTCTGTCTCTCACCTCTCCGTCTGTAGCTGCAGTTGGGCGAGTTGGTGCAGCCTCCTCAGAGCCCTCTCTTGTTTGCGTTGGTCCTTCCATGATTTCGACGCCACATTTCGGGCAAACTCTCTGTGCTTCAGCTCTTTCAGTCTCTGTGAAGAAAAAAAACACAACATTTACTTTATATAACTGTGTATAATTATAACTCCGCATCACTTGCCGAGTGATTCCTCAAAAGCTGAAAAACAGAACTAGTTCATTAAACGGTGCAGTGGTCCAAAATTACTCTTCACTTAATGTATGCATTCCAAACATTCTTATTCACTTCAGTTTTTAAAATGATTTTATAAGTACTAGGGGTGTAACGATATCCAAGTCTCACAATACGATATTATCAAGGTATGGACCTCAGGGTACGATATTTATATGTTGTATAAATGTCATAGGAAAGCTCACGATATGGGGGGTATGATATTTATTGCAATATTTTGTGGAGGCTAACAAAACTGTCAATATGCTACTTTTTCCTCTTAAAATGACTTGACAAGACTTAATCCAAAGAACTAAAATTGCTAAGAACAGTTATTTCTTTTTGTACACTTCTTCTACACTGAAATGGAGCAAAGGATCATGGTCTATGTAGTTCCCCTCTTTTTTTTTTTTTTTTTTTTTAGCTAATGCTGCTCCATAACTCTTAATTTAAGCAAAGAGACTTGTAATTCGAATATATTGTGATGGTCCACAATATTACTGTGAAATCTTTGATGATACGATATCACGATATTTAGGTTATTGTTACATCCCTAATAAGTACGATTCACAACTCTGTGTAAATTTAGCAACAACTAGCATGTTAACATCCACTTCCTGATTACATGATGATAAAACGCAGAGATCATATTTTGACCTCAAGAGCTGCTTCTGCAATGTTTCTGTACTGGGGCAAGGCACGTTTTGCTCGAATACATTTGGAAAAACCAGCTCCACGCCCTTTGACTGATACAAAAATTAAATACAATACGCCACATTAGAATACTGCGCCAGTGCCAGCCGCTCAGACAGTCGAGATAAACCTCTACCACACAGTTACAAAGGGGAAGTTTTCAGAAAGTATATAAAAAAAACAAAATCAATAACGGTAACGGACAAAATTCTGAAAGTTTTGGTGTTGATTAAATGTATTTTGTGCCATTCTTTGAGATATGGACTAAATTATAGAGTAATCAATGGTTGGCACTACGATCACCATTGCAGGATAAAAGCACTACCTTGGCAGTGGTCACTGTACTTTACGTACTTTCTTTTTCGATTTTTCATTTTTTCTTTTTGTCTTTTTTATGGTGATGCATCTTAAGAGCTTTTCTTAAAGTCCTGCTCCAAAATGTGACTGGATGGGGAGCAGTTGTTGGAGCCAAATGGACAAACTCTATTGTAGAAAATGCTGATCTCAGATATTCCAGCATCAACATATTTAAGGTTCACAGAGAATGGTAATAAAAATCAAGAGAGTGGCACTTCTGTGGGCAACCAGAGCTTAAAGGAGAAACGCCCAACTGGTTTAAGCCTTAAAGCACCTGAGCTACTGTACCACGTAATTAGACATGCTAACACCTAATTACAAATGCATTTTAATTAGGTGTAAGGTGTACCTATAGGCAGTCTGGAGCTCAAGTATTTCATTTCTTTACTACATTTTTTGTTATTGAGATGGTTTAGTATTATGAGCTATAGTGCATATTATTTCCTTTTTGAATTAATAAATATATTTGTTCTCCATCGTGTTCCACAACCGTGATCACTGATAACATTACTGCACATCACATTGTGTTTGTGAAATTGTAGTGCATTGTTTTGTATCATGCTTTTTAGACGAGGATTAGGATAGTCCTAAGGGCAAATTTGAGGAAAAGTCAGTAAACCATTTTTTTTTTTACATACTTTGAGGGTGCTGATTTAGAATATTTTGTTTACCAAGCTGGATTTTGAGTTCTAAACCTTCTAATTTGTATATATATATATATATATATATATATATATATATATATATATATATATATAATTTATGAATATATTATCCATCTATTCATCCGTCCATGTTCCGCTTATCTGGTGCCAGGTCACGGGGGCAGCAGTCTAAGTAGGGACTCCCATACTTCCTTCACCCCAGACACTTCCTCCAGCTCCTCCAGGGGGACCCTGAGGCCTTCCCAGGGCAGCACAGAGACATAGTCCCTCCAGCGTGTCCTGGGCCTCCTCCCACTGGGACGTGTCCGGAACACCTCCCGAGGAAGGCATTTCAAAGAATGAGAGCTGTCGATAGCAAACAGAGATAAATGACTTCCAGAAATAAAACTTAGCAATCACTTAGAATCCAAACCTAGTAGAAATCTGAATTAGGAATTTATTTCATTTCTGCTCATCAAATGAAGGAAATGAAGGATGCTAGCTTTAAAAAAGCTGCAGTATAGCCTTGTTTTTATTTCATTATGCTAATTAGGGGTCATGTGGTGACTTCTATCTCATAAAATTTACCTGGTATATATACAGTATACTGGTATTTGTTTTCTGGACTTTTTATGAAATCCATTCAAGTTAGAAAGAACTTTAATTTGATTAGCCTGGCGTCTATGCTATTATGCTAATTAGCATTCTTAAAACTCAAAATTCAGCTTGGTAAACAATATTTGGAATCAGCACCCTCAAATTATGGGAAATAGCATGTTACCAACTTTTCCCCAAATTTGCCCTCAGGACTTTTTCTGAAAGTATTCCTTGGAGTTATTCTCAGTCTATTTGTACATTTATGGTAAATTGGCATAAAAGAGTGTAGCAGGGCTGAGTCTTGTACACAGGCTTGAACAGCTTAATGTAAGAGGGTTCCAGTAGTGCCCATGAGAGACTGCTAAATTTCAATCTGGAAAGACTCAGAAACAGAGATTAAAAAGCTTTATGGAGTGATTAAGAGTTTGGCGGTCAGACCTCAGCAGAAGACATATGTGATGCTGAGTTGCATGGTGGGCTAATGAGCATTTAGGAAATGTCTCACCCCCTGGAGCTTTGACACTGGTGCTGGTCAAGAGAGGGCCAGAATATTAAGATGGCAAGTAGTGGGAGGATGATGGGGCGGAGGAGGCAGATATCTGGTGAGCACCTGGGTGAGAGGGTTTAAATATGGAAGACTGGGCATTGATTGGCTGAAGAGGAGGTGCGGAGGAGGTGTGCCAACGCCACGCGAAGGAGGGAGTGACCTGCCATTGCACCGGTGTAGGCTGAGGAGGAGGAGGAGAGCTGGAGTGAAGCTATGACTGGACATGAAGCTGCGGGTTTACCTTCCAGGCTTGAATTTATTTATTTTTCTATAAAGCTCAATTAACCAAACATGCATGAATAACATATAAAACTTCCCCAGGCATGATTTTGATGAGGAAACAACATTATAACATGGCAGAAGGCCCAAAAAAGTTGATTCTGCACAATAATTTTAATTTCTGCAAATGTCATTGCTTTGCCTGAAAATTTTCAAGGTTCTGCATTCAAAAATTGTAACAGGTTATAGGTCACATCTGTGGAGGGGCCAGCCAACTTGCAGTCAAAGGGCATGTTTTTCAGGGTATTTTCTTTAGCAATATAAAAACACGTGTAATTAAATAAATGCAAAAAATTATAATTAAAAGTAAAAGAGTGCAAATTTAATGTTCAGTTATCTCATTTTAAGGTGGATAGGCCCAATATACCAACCCAAACCATTCCAAAACATCTCCATTTTGTCAATTAAATAACACATTGGTTCACACTGACTTGCATCCACCCCAGTGTCAACTATAATGTCCAATTGATAAAGCGTTTGTCCACTGATCCAAAGGCTGGTGGTTCGAATCCCACTCTTAACATAAACACCATTGGTTGAGTGGTCAGGTCCATTGGCTCACAGGTTGCGTGATGTAAAGGGCTTTGAGCAGCTTGAAGGCTATTTGATATGTATATTTGAACATTTACCATTATGGCTGTTTCAGATATTGTGATGCCACGTGAGAGTCAGTGGGAATGTTGCATGGGGCTAAACTATGTAGAGTACGAGTCTGGTTTTATAGCCCTCTCCACGGACGGCTGTCTTTCAAACAGCATACATCAGTTGTTCTGCAGATGTTCCCCTTCACAGCTCATGTCCAATTAGCTCCATAGACAAGAGAAGAAAGGGCTTTTCTCTGGAGCACAGCAGGAGAGCAAACAGCAGCCAAATGTTCTATGGGAGATTACAGATAGTGAAGATGACTGACAAGAGCCATTTAATTATAATGATTCTGACTCTGCTCTGACTGGCGTGAGGATTCTGCGCTTGGCTGGATGAGTTGTTGATGCAGACACCAAACAACTGTGAGCAATTGAAAGTGTTTTGTCAGGACCAGAGGTAAAATGCTTGAGCTGATTACTGTAGTTGCCAGAGACCGTATTTTTCAAGTAGTAAATATACTTGAGTACATTTTTTTTTTCTTTCCCTTCACTACAGTGCGAACCAGAAACTGACAAAAGCTTTATGTTGAAAATATTAAATTATTTCAACATTTGTGCTCTATCAAACAGTGTTGGGAAGGTTACTTTTAAAATGTACTCCCCTACAGATTACAGATTACATACCCCAGAATGTAGTTTGTAACGTAATCCATTAAATTACTTAAAGTGAATAACGTAATTGGAATACTTTGGATTACTTGATTTGCTGTAGAGAAGCAAAGACGAGGATATCGTAACATAAGATGTTATATCTGCTAAAAGAAAATAAAAAGCCCAGACTTTACTTAACACGTCCACGCAGCATGGTTTAATCCTGTTAAATCCTGTTTTAGTCCTGGTTTAGACCTGGTTTAGACCTGGTTTAGATCTAGTTTAGACCTGGTTTTAGTCCTGGTTTAGACCTAGTTTAGACCTGTTTTAGTTTAGACCTGGTTTAGATCTAGTTTAGACCTGGTTTTAGTCCTGGTTTAGACCTAGTTTAGATCTACTTTAGACCTGGTTTAGTTTCTGGCAATGAGTGGAATTACCAGAAAAAACAGGAAAATAGCACCATGTAATCCATTTATTTCAACAAAGTAACTGTAATCCAATTACCACTCACTGAAACAGTAACTGTAACCGAATACAGTTACTCATAATT